GAACAGAGTCAAAATTAACAGACTCTGCAACCCAAAGGAGGCTGGCTGAATATTCCTGCTACCTTTGCTCTGATCATGTGACCATCTCATGCTTCTGTCACTTTCATTAAATAAAAATTAATCTTAACATATTTGGGCAGGAGTGGGGGTGGGTTGGCATGGGTGTCTACTCTGTCAATTTAAAAAATATACTTTAGTTCTCATCACCTAATCAGTTGATTTCAGCTCCATTTTCTCCCTTTTCTTTCTTTATCACTGCCTAACCTTGTCCCCTAGGAGTTTCAGACCTTGTTATTCATAAATGGCATAACTTCGTGCACCCTTTTCCTTTTTACTCAAAAGTTTTCTTTAGAATCAAAGGATTACTTGGCTGATTATAAAATTCTTGCATCACATATTCTTCCTCTCAGTATATTTTAGATACTGATCAAACCCCTTGCATGAATATTACTGTGAAGATGTCGAATACATCTTGATATTTCACACTAGTAGGGGACATGATTTTTTCCCCTCCTACTCCTAGAATTCTTTCTTTGTACCTGAATTTTAACATCCTTACCAGAATATGCTTTGATTTGTAATGGTAGGTATGAATGTTAGGTTTCATTATTTCTTGGAAATCTATGAGCCCCTTCAGTCTACACATTCAACTTGTCTTTATTTCAGAAAAATGTTGAAAAAACTGTACTTTAGGCTCTTTCTATATTTTCACTTGCTTAGTTCTTCTTAAAAATATCAATAATGCATGTTAGATATACCTTTTTAAAGTCTAGCGTTCCTTCTGTGATCATGTTTACATTCCCCTTTCTCTCTCCCTGCTCCACCTCCCTCCCTCTCTCTCTTTCTTTCTGAGTCACCCTCATAACTACTTATAAACATCGAACTTTTTCCACCTATAACGGGTATTATTCTCTACACTGGCTTTTCATTTTTTGTCATATTGTGACATTTTGCAACTCAATTCTATATTCTTTGGACATCCTATAAAGTCTCTTTGGAATACTTTTTTCTCATTGTTCAAATTTCACTTATTACTTATAAAGATGATATTATCTATAAATTCTGTGAGAATAATGAGAAGCATTTCTTTCATTCCTTTGTTTTACTGTAACCATCTTTTTATTGGAAACGACCGTTTACTGATTTAAAGAAAAATGTTTTGCGCATAGAGCACATATCATTTTCTTTCTAAGTATGATCCATCTTTGAATTATTGTTGCTACTTGCCAGAGATGTTGACAACTATGGTAACTGGCACTATCTGGGACATGGATTCAGAGGTGTTGACTCCAAACTTTTCCTCAACAAATTGCTTGGGTGACAGAAAAATCTTCTTTGGTATTCAGCATACATTTGGCGGATGTGAAAAACATTCAGTATTTAAGGATGGGGAAATTTATAGCTGATCACGGGTGACTAGAGTGATGGATTGGCTAAAGGCGTTAAGGGAAGAGGAGGGTTTTTCTTCATAAATCAAGAAACTGTCACTGCCTTAGACTACAGCTCATGTGACCATTTTCGCCCCAGAGCTGCTGACAGTATGAGGGGTAAGCTCTCTGTCTGTGTCTGCTACTGTTAGAAATGTATTTTGCCATTAAGCAAAAACCAGGAGTCCACTCTACCATTGCTGCTAAATTACTCTCAAAGTTGCTGACATTCACTGCTGCCTAAAATCACCTTTAAAAAAACAGCTTTATAAAATATAGGTTAAATATTATAAAATTCACCCATTTCGCGAGCATTTAATTCAATAAATTTTTGTATATTNTATAAACATCTAACTTTTTCCACCTATAACGGGCATTATTCTCTACACTGGCTTTTCATTTTTTGTCATATTGTGACATTTTGCAACTCAATTCTATATTCTTTGGACATCCTATAAAGTCTTTTTGGAATACTTTTTTCTCATTGTTCAAATTTCACTTATTACTTATAAAGATGATATTATCTATAAATTCTGTGAGAATAATGAGAAGCATTTCTTTCATTCCTTTGTTTTACTGTAACCATCTTTTTATTGGAAATGACCGTTTACTGATTTAAAGAAAAATGTTTTGCGCATAGAGCACATATCATTTTCTTTCTAAGTATGATCCATCTTTGAATTATTTTTGCTGCTTGCCGGAGATGTTGACAACTATGGTAACTGGCACTATCTGGGACGTGGATTCAGAGGTGTTGACTCCAAACTTTTCCTCAACAAATTGCTTGGGTGACAGAAAAATCTTCTTTGGTATTCAGCGTACATTTGGCAGATGTGAAAACCATTCAGTATTTAAGGATGGGGAAATTTATAGCTGATCACGGGTGACTAGAGTGATGGAATGGCTAAAGGCGTTAAGGGAAGAGGAGGGTCGTTCTTCATAAATCAAGAAACTGTCACTGCCTTAGACTACAGCTCATGTGACCATTTTCGCCCCAGAGCTGCTGACAGTATGAGGGGTAAGCTCTCTGTCTGTGTCTGCTACTGTTAGAAATGTATTTTGCTATTAAGCAAAAACCGGGAGTCCACTCTACCATTGCTGCCAAATTACTCTCAAATTTGCTGACATTCACTGCTGCCTAAAATCACCTTTAAAAAAACAGCTTTATAAAATATAGGTTAAATATTATAAAATTCACCCATTTTGCGAGCATTTAATTCAATAAAGTTTTGTATATTGTAGAGCTGGTCTGCCTTTCTTTGCCTCCACCCCTGCATGCTCTTCTTCTAGAATGGAGGTTCCATGCCAAGAAGACCATGAGCAAGATGCCTTCTTTTGTCGTTATGGTCCTGCTACTGTCACAGCCCCTAGGTGCTGAAAGAAACTGAAATAGCAAAGTAATATTCTGTTTCTTATTTCTTCCTTCTAAATTCCATCTAGTGCCTCCAATTGCCAGAAACCAAGAGAAATTCAGAAAGCTAGGTTGTCTGAAATATGTGGCTTGCAGGTTTATCCCTCAAAAGTACAGAAGAAAGTGCAGAAAGGAAAGTGTAATATTGAGAGACCATCGTATTGAAAGCTAGAGTATCCAGAGCACCCCTCAACTTATAAAATCATGTCTTAGCCCATTCAGGCTGCTATAACAAATTACCATAGACTGGGT